TTGGGGGGGATTTTTTGGGGGGGATTTTGGAAGGAGGAACATTGAACCGACGCCCGGCAAAAAAAGTGGGTGGACCGAGCCAAATCCGGGATGCTAGTGAGGGCGCGGCTTCAAATATGCGCACCTTATCTTCGAAGCTAGACGATTTGAAAGTGCTCAAAGCTGAACCGGGGTGGATCGTACGTTAAGCGAATCACAGCGCACGCTATTTGTGATCATGCGGGACTTACCGCACAAATAGTTAAGCTTCAGTTGAACTTTGGTTGAGCTTTGGTTGAGCGGGACGCGTCCTTGAGAGCATATTGGCCGAATGAAGACAGCGTGGCATTAGGCACTGTCGTGACGTCTTCCGATGTCCATGTTGAATAGCAGGGTTTTGTTGCACGTTAAATATCACGGCCACGTTGCAGAGTATTTTTAGTAGTGTTCTATGAAAAATGAAGGCGCGATTGTTATGAATGCCATCCCATCAATCCCGTCGTGTAAACATCGATGAATGCCAAGGGTCGGACGTTGAGCTATACTTTGAGGAACGTTTTCGGGTGCGGTGGTCTGGGCAGCGACAATGCTCCAGTCGGCCGTTTCCGCTTCGAAGCACAAATGATCAAACCGGAGCTGTATCGGTGACGACTGCGCTTCTTCCGAAAGCTGCTTGTTGTAGTGCATCACGGGACGTGCGGGATTCCACGAGCAACCAGAGAAAGTGCGCAAGAACCAGACAGAGTAGCTAGGAAGGATGATTTTTGCCGCCGCATAGCGGCTCCGTAACGGAATCAAGATAGAGATGTCAAGCGCGTGAAATCGAACAAGCTGGCTACAGGGCTGCCTTTAATTAATCATCAGATTAAGCAAAGTAGCGTCAAGACTTCCGAGCATCTGCCGGCGCACGATGCGAAAACGATTCAGGCGATTGAAAGTCTAGGGGAAAGGCATCAAATACTGAAAAGACCCATTGGAACGCTCTGCACCTCGCCTTGTCATGGCATCAGGCTGACAAGAAAGAGGCAGCGCGTCCTTGCCACACGATGGCTAGCGCATGTCACTTAATCATTGCCACAGGCCGTTTCTTCAACAAGTCGTGAAAAGTTTCGACCATCAAACATCATCAGCACTTTCTTAGTTTGTAACCGTCCATTCACAGGTCCAGCTGTGAACGAGATGATACGCTATGAGTCGCCCAGTAACGTGCATTTTATCTTGCTGCGCTCTGAGATCGGGTTAGATTTCAGCCGCTGATTTTCCCAAGACTGCTCTAGTCGAATTTTGATACAATTATTCTGACGGCCTTACTTGAAGATCCAACTTCCCATGCCTGAAGGAATGAAGGAAGTCCCACTAGAAGACTTATACTGCCTATCTCCGTCGGACGAGTGCTGGCGTCAGGCTGGGATATTATAGTTCCCTCACTGCAGTTGTCTTTGCCTGGTTCACCCTAGGCAAAGCTGCGCTATATCTTCGGATCCAGTCTTCCTCCTCCGACCAACACGAGAAGACTAGCAAAAATTTGATTCTCGTCGATATTTGACCAGGAACGTCGATATAATCTCCCTCATCAGCCCAGGTATTCCCACACGTGCTTCGAGCGGAGCTTATTGAGAGCTACTACTAAGAGCTTTAGTAGATATATATGAACGAGCGGTCCACTGATTTCACGAAGCGAACGTCTTCGATCAAGAAACCTAAGACAGCGCACGTTCGGTCGACTTCAAGTTCCTGGACGCTCCAATTCCTAGCCTTCAAGTTGTCGTCGCAGGAAGAGTTGGCTTTCAAACCTTCACTCACGGTGTCACGTGCAAGATGCAGACAACAGTTGCTCGTGAGCAGACGCCCTGAGAAACCTAAATTATACAAAGCTTTTCAAGCTCTTCTACGTTTAGAGATTTGATTTATCAAAATGTCTCTCGCGCCTGATTACGTACAACTTTTAATGGAAGTCGGACAGATGCAGCACGAAAAGGCAAAGGCGTCAGCTACAAGCAAACGAGAACAATATCTGCAGCTCAGAAATTGGAGGAACGGCGTCACGGACTGGCGGGTGTCCCATACTGTTGCCTTATGATCGGCATAAACATTGCGTATAAGCATCATAACCACCCTTAAAGAAGTAGAATGGTGGGCGCTGCATGCCCAGCTTAGCAGGCGACAGCTTGCCAGCCGCGGGTACGGTCTATGAGGCATCTACGGCTACGTTTGATTTTGCGGGCGGAGACGTTTGAGCAACGTCTCAGAAATCCGGATTCTGGACGCTGCCCAGATAGGGATCTGTGTATACGTAGGCAGTGATGGGCGCGTTTGAAACATGATAGAGATTGCATGGCCGCTGGGTGCACGGCCTCAGCCCATGCGTCTCAATGCTAACTAAACTGGGCCACGCAAGTTCACGTCTCGGCCCAGAAGAAACGAGAAAGCGTCACGACCAATATTGGCATGACAGATTCTACGCAATTCAAAGCTAGCCGCGTTGGAATGAAGATTGATTCCACACCCGCATCTAGGAACCACTGCGATAACAGTAACTCATCGCTCGTGTAAGGATAAACTTGAGAGCTTCATACATTTTTGTTTTATAAGGTTTGCAATGGTCTTCACCTGGATAACGGACTTCGAAGCTAAAGTCATTCGATGATATCTTGCAGTACTGGAGAGTGTCGAACCAATTCGTCTGGTTCCTGTGACGTATTGCCTGACAGAGGGGCAGTGGCATCAGTCCTACGTTCAAAAACTTTGGGACATAGAGACCCAAGGTTCAAAGAAATAATCTCGATCCATTAAAAGGAGCCATATACATCTGGGCGCCCTGCGCAGTGGTGGATTCGACGGCTGAGCTTATGACTTGTTGCTCAACCAGGCGTTCAACCAGCCGCCGAAGTTTCAAGTTGAGCCTACAAAACGTGCGTCCACCAGATGTTTATTCTAGCAGGCCTAACCATGGCCGAGAAAGCCCCTAGTAAGACGTGATTATTTCCGCGGTATCACTTGACCAGCCAGCATAGCAAAGGGCCGGACCCGCATGCACCTTGGCAAAGTCCTGACCGTTATTTTAAAAGCAAAGTCGGTTTGAATTCTTATGTGATAGGTAGGACCCGACCTCTTACTCGAGTGAGCTTCCAGCCTTCTTACTAAAGACATACCGGACACGGTAGGTTTTGCGCAAAGCATGCGCACTGATTGTTTTTGATATGTATTCTATTTCAGGAGTCTCCTCTACGCACAAGGATCTGTGGCGCTCTAGTTAGGAACACGTGTGCAAGTTTGGACATATAGCGTATAGTTTCTAGGAAGTTTCGTAGAATCCGTCAGACGTTTCTAGATCGCAACATGACGTCATTAGGCTTAGCTTCGCTTAAGCAAGTACTGTCGTGTACTATTTGCATGTTTGGTACGTAACCCTGCATAAGCTATGAGTAGAGTGCAGACTGAATATAGAGTAAAACGTGCGCGTACGCTATGCGCCTACTAGGAGTATAAAAGGACGCAACCCGGACCCTGCAGAACATTCATTGTCATTTCTAACATTCACGCTTCCGCAACAAAGCGCATTCGCAATGTAGCCCACTTCCGCAACAGCGCAAAGCAGTAGAATAGGCCCCTCGCAAAAAGTTTTAGTTTAGGACGGCTTTGTTGAGAGCCGATCTTGGTTGGCATCAGAGGTAGGCTGGCCGGCTGTCTAGCCCGGCCACGATCCGCAGAACCGACGACTTCCGTCACGTGGAGCATCGCCCAGAGTGAACCCGGCGATCCCTGAACCGTGCTTTAGTAGCCGGTTGAACCCTGAACCAAGCAAGCTCCGCGACCATAAGCGGCGAGCTCTTGTACAAAGTGAACCCGTTGTACCGGGGAAACTCTTGCAGTTTGAAACGACGAACCGAGCGACTTTTCGAACCTTTGTGGCTGTCAACCGAGTGCCTTGTACGCACCCGGCCGAACCCGAAACTTTCGGAACTTGACGCGTACACTGACGAGTACGCCGATCTGTGTGAGAACATACCCGTTTCACCGGGGAACCTCTTGCAATGTGAAACCGCGAACCGAGCACTTTTCAGACCCTGTTTGGCCGTTAGCTGGGCGATCTCGGCACACCCGGCCAGAACCCGGCCAGAAACTTGGAAAATTAACGCGAGTACGCCAACCCACGCTGTCGACACGACTGTACGAACATAGCTGTTTTACAAATTACAGCAATAGCGAACCTGGCTCAGTAACTACACCGCACTTGAACCGTACTGTACGTGATCCACGTTGTAGCTGGCCTGACGGGACGCATGACGGTGACACCCCAAGTCTGAGGAGTCGGAACCACTGCGCAACCGGGCGGCTCAACCCCAAGGGCGGGTTGGAGACACGGCGGCACTGCCGGTGCTTTACCGACGGCCCAGATTGGCTGTGTGGGCGACCGAAAAGACGTCCCCAGACACGGCAGCTCACGAAAGAAAGTGTACAGCCGGTGAGAAGAACCAGGAAGTGACCAAAGAGCCGAGCCTAGAAATCGACAGAAGCAGTGAACCAAGTCCGCAGAGTCGGCACGGGCGACTCGTCACTCGCCGACCCCAGAGCAGAGACTCAGCTAGAGGTCCGGGAGTCCGGCGACGTCGACGGCACGACGTGACTGCCCGGATTGGTGGACCGACTGACGCACACTGCACGACTGCAGCACAGCATATACGGTACTTCCTGTACTTCGAGGAAAGATGGACCTCACGAACCTGGTGAAGCCATATAGTGGCAAAACCGAGCCAAGAGAGTGGCTGCGAACCTTCGAAAAGGTGGCCCGAACCATGGGCTGGATCGACACTCAGCGCCTGCGCATGGCGTTTTTGTACCTAGAAGGCGACGCGGACAAGTGGCTCCGCAGTCAACAAGATGTGTACAACTGGACTTGGAACGAGTTTTCGACCAAAATCGAGAACCACTTTACAAGCGTGATGGCCGACGGTGCATAATGCACGCCGCTTGTTCGCAACCCGCAAACAACAGCCGAACGAGAAGGTTCGCAAGTTTGCATGAGACCTCCAGTAATTGCGTCCAGACTACCTGAAACGATTCCAGACGACCACCTTTTGTACCGCTTTCTGGACGGACTCCAACCGAACATTACGGAACGTGTACATCTCGTCCGCCCAAGTACATGGGAGGAGGCGGTGAACGCGGCAGAATATTTCGAAGCTCTAGACGAGCAGCCAGCAGACGAACCGTCGGAGACGAAGTACGACGAAGCATTTCTCATAATGAACGTGGAAGAACAATTGGCCAACATCCGGCACGACCTTGCCTATGTGGAACAGCACTACGAAAACTTCAGCCGTGCAGCTCTTGGAGCAGTTTTGACCTCCGTTCGAGACAAGCTGAACGTGGTTCAAACAGCTACAATGCATGGACCTCAAAAGCACGAGAACGTGATTTTCACAGCCAATTTGATCGTGGACGACCAACCTCTAAGGGTGGAGGGAAAGAAGCGCACCCTCATTGAGATGTACGAAGGAGGGCAGACTCAGACGCCCAACGAACCCTGCGAACGTCCAGCAAAGACGACAGACTCGCCAGAACAGAAGAACAACGCCAAGTGGAACCCGTACGCGACTGGCATCGACTACGAAGCATGCAGTCGCAAAGTGAAGAACAAGAACCCCTTTGCAGCCGAACCCATTCACGTAGGGAGTCTGGTGACCCCTATCTTTCACGAGCCCAAGTACAAAAGAGCACCCGTCTGCATTGTGAGACGATTCTCTGGCGAACTCACCATCGAAGTAAAGACAGAACATGGGGAAGTGAAGGAGTACCGCATCAACGAAGTACGCCCATACAAACCTCACGCACGACCGCGCCGCAGAGTTTTTCGACCTTCTTCTTTGGCATCTTCGGAGGACCAAAGATCTGAGGGTGGAGGAGTCACAGCTGTGGCGCTCTAGTTAGGAACACGTGTGCAAGTTTGGACATATAGCGTATAGTTTCTAGGAAGTTTCGTAGAATCCGTCAGACGTTTCTAGATCGCAACATGACGTCATTAGGCTTAGCTTCGCTTAAGCAAGTACTGTCGTGTACTATCTGCATGTTTGGTACGTAACCCTGCATACGCTATGAGTAGAGTGCAGACTGAAAATAGAGTAAAACGTGCGCATATGCTATGCGCCTACTAGGAGTATAAAAGGACGCAGCCCGGACCCTGCAGAACATTCATTGTCATTTCTAACATTCACGCTTCCGCAACAAAGCGCATTCGCAATGTAGCCCACTTCCGCAACAGCGCAAAGCAGTAGAATAGGCCCCTCGCAAAAAGTTTTAGTTTAGGACGGCTTTGTTGAGAGCCGTTCTTGGTAGTCACAATCTAATAGCTTCAGAATGTGCGAAGGCTGTATGCCGCATTTGCGGCTAGAGCGGGACATCAGCTTGGAAGTCATTGCCAGAACTATTCTCACTCATTCCATCGTGCGATGGGTCGAATCGATCGACGCACTGTTGGAGGGCAGTGTACTATTTGGAGGGCAGGCTGCTAAAAATCTAGATGTCGCCTCCCATTACGTGCGACTTTCCTGGCGGCCACTGTTTGCTTCCACTGACAGCCCAAATCTAAGGTGCATGATTGCCTCGACGAAGACATCGATGTATTTTTCAAAGGGCATCAATACAAGACTTCAACGTGATACGTTACTGTTGGATTGTGACGAGACAATCCGGACGCCAAACATTAGGGTTAGTAGATTAGGGTTTGAGGGTTAGAGTCGGAATTAGATCGAGTTAGACCCGAGTCTAGGTTGCGTGACTCGGAGTAAGGGGAGTACCCCAGATCTGGAAGTCTCTAGAAGTAGATCTGGGTAGGCCGGAAGTTAGGACAGAGACCTGACTCGAACCTGCATCATAACAAGAGTGTGCCTTTGTGCAATTGAGAGTGAAGGGCGCCTCCCATGTGCTTTGTGTGAACCTCTGCATCCATGTGTGCTGTCTCTAGCTGATTTTCAACAGGTTATGGGCCCACCATTGCAAGGGTGAATCTGCTGTTGCGGGGTGAAGTCAGCACTGAGAGAGAAGCCGTGTGGTGTGGAGAGCATGTCCTGACAGAGCCTGGGTGAATTCTTGAAGCTTGAGGGAGTAGAGAATTCAGAAGGCAGCCATGGGGAGCTTAAAGATAACGATGGAGCCTCTCTCGGAGGGGAACTACCACTCCTGGTCGATCAAGATGAAGAGTTATCTGATCACCAAGAGTCTGTGGAAGGGGGTAACGGATCCTTCAGCAAACGCTGAGGAGTCAGAGCTGGCGTTGGCTCTGATCACGTTAAACGTGGCAGATCATCTGCTCGGGAGCCTGTCAGAGCTTGCAAACGTTGGGAAAGCGTGGAAGCAGCTGGAGAGTACTTTCAAGAGCAAGAGCGTGGCTCGGAAGTTGCAGCTAAAGAGGGAGCTGCAGACACTCAAGATGAAGGGAGAGGAGAGTGTCACT